ATGAAGAAATCATGGTACAATACTATCAAAAGCATGTCAAAATATTCTAGAAAAAAGAAGAAGAAAGAAACAATAAGTATAACATTACCGAAGTACAAGAAAATCAAATACTAACATAATTAAAAGGATAGGAAACTACAAAAGTAATATTATGTACGACTCCTACTATGAAAAGATAAGTAAGACAAACGCGCTATTATCTACTAATCTTCCACTCTAATTTGTGTACTTTACAACCTCTTATTTAAGGTCATGTTTTTGATAAGTTAAAATTGTATCATATTCTGTCTAATTACCTCTCTCCAATACTTCTTCGATCTACCCACTCCTCTCCTAAATTCATTCATAGTCAACCTCTTTCATACTCACACCTCTGCATAAGAAGCATTTGTACATCTACTCTTTACATATTCAAATTATTTTCAATTTCTGCCTCACTTTCTAAGTTTTGTCCTCCACCGAGGTACTCCCACACTCGCACACATTATTAGTATAAAAATATAGTATTCATCATGTTGAATTTGAATTTTTCCTTTTAAGATTTAAGAGTTAAAAGCACTTTAACTATTCGAATTTTTTGAGTTTTTTATACTTAAATTACTAAGTGTGAGTTTCTTATCTGAACTATCACTATATAATTAGTGAAACACACCTCGATTAATTTTTAATGAAATTGCCTAAGACGTGTTTTTATCCTTTTAACTCTTTCAAAAACAATCTGAATATAAATAGTACTGCTAATTTCGTACTAATTAAGTCAACTTGATTAATATATTTTGGCAAATTAGGTATTGACTAACAATGGAGCATTCTTCTAGAGAGCGACTTTGCTTGCATTTGTAACTAGTGCTTCTCAACTTTGCCTCTTCCTATTCCACTTCTTTAATTTGTTTTTTAAGTTTCAATTTTCTAGAAGGCCCAATTGATGTTTCTTCTAACCTAATCTTTTCGGTTAGTCCAGCGCATATTTAATTTAGTGACATTTGTAAATTTTAAAATCCATATTTATTTAAATAAAGCGGTCTTTAAATCATGGTCAAATATCATTAACCATGGTTATTACTATTTCTCTTTCTCTCTCCTCTCTCATCTCTTTCTTTCTCACTTAATTCTGCAACAAACATTTTCTCAATCAGCAAAGAATTTGCTTTGTTAACAACAAATCGCTTTTTCTTTCCATTATTTTCACACCGTGATAAAAGAAAATAAAATTCAAAGGATGAACTTGAGTTATAAAATTTAAAAAATCCAACGCATGAGACTACTTTTTTGAAGCTTGGTTCGGTCACAATGGTGATCCACAAAACTATGTCATCTTCTTCGTGTGACATCAATTTTTTCAATTTGAAGTTTCTGCAGAAGCCAGCTAAAGGATCTGGAAAGGGCACGAAAATTGGTGTAACAACCCGACTTTTCGAAACGTATAAATTGACTCGTATCTTCGTGAAAAGACCATTAGGGTGGGTAATAAATTAAGAATGATGTTTTATGTGATATTTTAAGTGTTTAAGTGTTGTATCTCAAGTTTTGAAGTTAGGTAAGTGACAAAATAAAAGTTGGCGAAAGTTACCGTAAATTCCTTTTTAAAGATTTGTCTGAAATTTGGGTCAAATATCTCGGACGTTTTCTCCCAATCTATTAAGAGTTATGGTCCTCGCGACCTATGAAATCGAAGGTCTACGAGTCTAGTTTCCAAATGCATCAACCCGTTCATTCATACGACTTCAGAATGGAGAAATATTCGTATTTTTGCAAGACTGTGTAAGCAGGCAGGTGAGGTGGGTCCCCTAGGTCGGTGGAACTTTATATATATCATCTTCTTCAACTTTTCTTCATTTTTCCTTCATTTTCCTTAGTGAAGAAC